CTCCCTACCTTTCTCCATTATCCAGCGGATATTGGCAATCTGGTCTCTCGTTCCTCTGCCTTTTCTAAACCCAGCTTGAACATCTGGCAACTCTCGCTCCATGTATTGCTGGAGTCTTCCTTGCAGAATCTTGAGCATTACCTTACTGGTATGAGAAATAAGGGCCACTGTACGGAAGTTTGAGCAGTCTTTCGCATTTCCCTTTTTTGGTATGGGGATATAAGTTGATTTTTTCCAGTCTGATGGCCATTCTTGTGTTTTCCATATTTGCTGGCATATGGCATGCATCACCTTGACAGCATCATCTTTTAAGATTTTAAACAGTTCAGCTGGGATATATATATAAAAATGCTCTGTGCATAATGAGTACCTTAAAAACAAAAAAACTACAGGGCCAAATGACCCCAAATTTGGCAACAAAACTCCTCACAATCCAAGGAGTGACCATCACTGAAAAAAATCCACAAAAACACCTTTAAATTCAAAAAAGGACTATATATTACTATGTTAAATAGACTCATAGAATAGACTTAGAAGGGACTCTACCATGGTATTGGGGGAGAACAGACAGGAAGGAAGGAGAGAAGAAAGGAGGGAGGGAAAAAGAGAAAGGAGGAAGGAGGAAGGAAGGAAAGAGAGAAGGATGGAGGGAAAGAGGAAAGAAGGAGGAAGGAGAGAAGAAGGGAAAGTACCGGAAGAAGGAAGAAGAGAAAGAAAAAGGTAAAGAAGGAAGGAAGGAAGGAAGGAAGGAAGGAGAAAAAGCAATAAAAAGTGAAAGAAGCAAGGAAACAGGGAGTGAAGAAATGAGACAAAGGAAGAAGTAGAGAAAGGGGGAGTGAAGGAAGGAAAGAGAGAAGGAAGGATGAACCCAAAGAGTGAAAGAAGGAAAGGTAGAGAAGGAAGAAAGGAGAGAAAGGGGAAGGGGAAGAAAAAGGGGGGAAGGAATAGGTAGGTACCTCTCTTTCATAATAGTCCAGATATCTACTTCTACTTCGAAAATTCTTACTATAGGCCACAGCAACGTGTGGCAGGGCACAGCTCATATATATATAAGCTTGGGGACCCAGCGCTGCCCAGGTTATTTGAGAAGGAATTGTGTATCAAGTTTGGTCTTTGGCTCACAGTGGTCTCAGGATGTTAGTGAAGGTACTGCGAGTCCCATTATCTGTGGTCCATCTTCCTCCAAACTGCACCAGGATGGATAGTGGGTCATGGGGGCTCTGTGTGCCAAGTTTGGTCTTGATCAGTCATTGGCTAAGGGTCACAGTGGTCTCAGAAAGTGTGTTAAGGTACTTAAAGTCCCATCATCCATAGTCTGTTCTCCCCCAAAACTCACCAGAATGTTGAGTTGGCCATGGGGGCTCTCTGTGTCAACTTTGGTCTTTATTGGTATTTGGATGAGGGTTGCTGTGATTTCAGGAAATGAGTGAAGGTACTGCAAGTCCCATCATCCATCATCCATCCTCCTCCAAACAGGGGTGGGATACAGAGTGTGTCATGGGGGCTCTGTGTGCCATTTGGTCTTGATTGGACATTAGATGAGGGTTGCAGCAGTCTTGGGAAGGGAGTGGGGGTACTTGAAGTCCCATCATCCATGGTCTGTCCTCCTCAAAAGTGCACCAGGATGTAGAGTGTGTCATGGGGGCTCTGTGTGCCAAGTTTGGTCTTGATCGGTCATTAGATGAGGGTTACAGTACTCTTGGGAAGTGAGTGGAGGTACTTGAAGTCCCATCATCCATGGTCTGTCCTCCTCGAAAGTGCACCAGGATGTAGAGTGTGTCATGGGGGCTCTGTGTGCCAAGTTTGGTCTTGACCAGTCATTAGCGAGGTCTCAGTGGTCTCAGGAAGTGAGTGAAGTGACTGCAAGTCCCATCATCCATGTCCTCCTCGAAAGTGCACCAGGATGTAGAGTGGGTCATGGGGACTCTGTGTGCCAAGTTTGGTCTTGATCAGTCATTGGCGAGGGTCTCAGTGGTCTCGGGAAGTGAGTGAAGTGACTGCAAGTCCCATCATCCATTTCCAAATTCTTCCAAACCGCACCAGGATGTAGAGTGGGTCATGTGGGCTCTCTGTTTGAATTGTGGTCTTGAGCCATCATTGTTGGCAGTTGTAATGGTCTCAGGAATTGAGTGCAGGTATTGCAAATCCCATCGTCCATGGTGCATCCTCCTCCAAACGGCAGCAGTGTATATGTCATGTGTGTATATATATATGAGATGGGACTTGATGATGGGACTTGATACACACACACACACACACTAGTACTCTCAAACTCAAGGTCAACACCCACCAACCCCTTCTCGTGTTTTTTGTTGGTCAAGGGAGTTCTGTGTGCCAAGTTTGGTTCAATTCCATCATTGGTGGAGTTCAGAATACTCTTTGATCGTATTTTAACTATAAATCCCAGTAACTACAACTACAAGAGACCAAGATGAAGTACTTTGGCCACATCATGAGAAGAAAGGAAAGCTTAGAGAAGACAATGATGCTGGGGAAAATGGAAGAAAAAAAAGAAGAGGGGCCAACCAAGGGCAAGATGGATGTTATCCTTGAAGTAATGACTTGTACCTTGTTGTTATTGTTGTTGTTTAATTGTGCAGTACTTATTTTGAAAGTATTTGTTATACTCCAGAAACTTTGTTTTTGTGGCTGCCACAAAATGATGGGCCCTTCCACACAGCTGTATAACCGAGAATATCAAGGCAGAAAAATCCCATGATATCTGATTGAACTGGGTTATCTGAGTCCACACTGCCATATATTCCAGTTCAAAGCAGATTATTTATTATTTTGTGTCAAAAGCATTGCATAAATAAATAAGTACAAAAAATAAAATAAAGGGAGCACAAGCAGCTTAATTATTTTAGACCAAAAACAGGCACAGCGATCACATTGTTTGCTCTGCTCCACAATCACACAAGGTGGAGGATTCTTCTAGGTAGTGCCATTTTGCCAGGTTGTCTTTTGATCTGCCAACTCCACTTCCGAGTCTGTTCAGGGACTTCCAAGTTGCCCATTCTTGGTTTGCCCCTGGAGGAAGACCCTTGGGGGGGGGCATCCAATTGGAATTGCCTGATTTTTCTGCCCGAAGAGATATTATTGCTGTTGCTGAAGGAACATTTAGAGGAGTGGTGGTTCTCATGAAACTTTTCCTTGATTTGAGCCTACTAGGAGGAAGTGATAGCCATGCAGTGGATGGCTTTCACAGTGTTCAACCTTATTTCTCTTGCAATTGGCAGCAACTTCCCATTGTACATCGGGGTGGGTGGGTGGGGGTGCAAGGCTAGCTTATAGAGCAGCATTTCTCATCCTGGGGGTCAGGACCCCGGAGGAGTCACCAAAGACCATCAGAAAATGCAGTATTTTCTGTTGGTCATGGGGGTTCTATGTGGAAAGTTTGGCCCAATTTTCTATTGTTGGTGGGGTTCAGAATGCTTTGATTGTAGGTGAACTATACATTCCAGCAACCATAACTCCCAAATAACAAGGTCTGCATTCCCCAAACTCCACCAGTGTTCACATTTGGGCATCTTTTGTTGAGAAGTGTTAAGATGTGCCTGGTTGTTTCCTCTCTGCTGTTTTGCTGTTGTAATTTTAGAGTTTTTTTAATACTGGTAGCCAGATTTTGTTCATTTTCATGGTTTCCTTTCTGTTGAAATTGTCCACATGCTTGTGGATTTCAATGGCTTCTCTGTGTAGTCTGACATGGTGGTTGTTGGTGTGGTCCGGCATTTCTGTGTTCTCAAATAATATGCTGTGTCCAGGCTGAGACAAAGGATACAGCATTTTATTTGAGAACACAGAAATGCTGGACCACTCTCACAACCACCATGTCAGACTACACAGAGAAGCCATTGAAATCCACAAGCATGTGGACAATTTCAACAGAAAGGAGGAAACCATGAAAATGAACAAAATCTGGCTACCAGTATTTAAAAAACTCTAAAATTACAACAGCACAACAGAGAGGAAACAAACAAGGACATCTTTCAGTGCGCTGGAACTTGCACTCTTTCCACCCATATTATTATTATTATTATTATTATTATTATTATTATTATTATCTTTATTTGTACCCCGCTAGCATCTCCCGAAGGACTTGATGCGACTTATAAAGGCCAAGGCCTCAAACACAACATAACAATACAACACCTAAAGCAAATTAAAAACAGTTAAAGCAATATTAAACAACAAGCAATAAACAATACATCAAGACACTATAAAACTGGGCCGGGCCAGAGTAATGGGTACAGAATTAAAAGTGCTGATGTGACAGGTGATATGTAAGGATTATAGGGTAAGTGCAGTGTGCAGCAATCTTAATTCTAATAAAGTGCTTCTGGGACTTGTTATTGGAGTTTTCCTATTCTAGAAAGCTAATCAAGATGGTCAGTTGAAACATTCACACCTAGCTCCAGCAGACAAGACTCCTTTGTCCCACCCTGGTCATTCCACAGATATATAAACCCATTTTCCTAGTTCCAACAGACCTCACTACCTCTGAGGATGCTTGCCATAGATGCAGGCAAAACGTCAGGAGAAAATGCCTCTAGAACATGGCCATATAGCCCGAAAAAACCTACAACAACCCATTATTATTATTATTATTATTATTATTATTAAGCTGTTTGGACAGGGCCATTGTTGAATTGGTTGAAACTCTATGAGACATTCATTGAAAAACTACAAGATGTGCTGCAGGATGTCCGGCAAAAACAAAATTTTGACAGTTTAATACATTCTTTCCATATTTTTATGACAGAACCAATTAGGAAATGACATTTATAACCCAGGGACAAAAATCGTGGGAGATACTTTATAGATCCTTCAGAGTCACCTTCAGACACCAACCACATGCCAAATGGTATCGGAAACTCGCAAACAACGTTGCAATCTTTCCTTTCTGGTTCTACGTGCGCCGGCTCCGTTTCTCCAGAGGCCCCGCCCACACAAGCGGAAGTGGCTTGTCTGCCCCTTCAGCGCACGCGCCTTCTAAAGGAAGAGGGGCGGACGACAAAAGGCATCGTGCGAATCACGTTGGCCGGCTAGGCGTTCGGTGATTGGTCCAGGCGGGGTGGCTAAGAAGGAGGGGAGGGGGGAGGTTATGCCGTCACATCCGGCAGTGGCGAAGCCGGTGGTTTCCTTGGGTGGTCGCGCGCGCGCGGGACAGCAAGAGACGGCTTTGGTTCGGGAAACCGGCTCCCCCGCCCCGCCATGGCCTCCCTCCTCAAGGTGGACCCGGAAGTGAAGATCAAGGTACGAGAGAAAGGGAAGAGCCGCTTCCGCCACGGGCCGGCCGTGCCCTTAAGCATGTGCAGAGCGCCGGGAGGCGGCTGGGCGTTCCCCAGCCAGGCTGCGGCTGACGAATAGGGCCAGGACGAGTTGGATGCTGCATGGAGCTGAGGCACTTTCCGCACAGCTGAATAAAATCACACTTTATCTGCTTTGAACTGGGATATGTGGCAGTGTGGACTCAGATAATCCAGTTCAAAGTAGATATTCTGGGTTATATATATAGTTGTGTGGAAGGGCCCTGAGCTAATAGTCCCTCTCGCTGAGCAGCCTGTGCAATCCCTTTTGATCTGATGAACTGTGGTTTATGGATATTATTATGATGCTCTTTTGGTGCATGTGCACTGCAGAGTGAATGCAGTTTGACACCACTTTAACTCTCCTGCCTCAATGCTATGGAGTTGTAGTTTAACAAGGCCTTCTCTGGTCCCTTCTACACTGCCATATAACCCAGATTATCAAAGCAGGTAATCCACATCTGGCCGGGGTGGTCCATGCCTTGGTCACCTCTAGATTGGATTACTGTAATGCGCTCTACGTGGGGCTGCCCTTGAAAACGGCTCGGAAATTCCAACTGGTCCAACGGGCAGCGGCCAGGATGTTAACTGGGGCTCCTTACAGAGAGAGGTCATCCCTCCTGTTCAAGGAGCTCCATAGGCTGCCATTCATCTACCAGACCCAGGTGCAGGTTCTTACCTACAAAGCCCTGAACAGTTTGGGACCCACCTACCTGCGTGATCGCATCTCTGTTTACGAACCCACACGATCCCTTTGATCATCCGGGGAGGCCCTGCTCTCGATCCCACCAGCTTCGCAGGCGCGATTGGTGGGGACGCGAGACAGGGCCTTTCTGTGGTGGCCCCCCCGCTCTGGAACCCTCCCCAAAGATCTTAGACAGGCCCCTACTTTGGCAGTCTTCAGAAAGAATTTGAAGGACCTGGCTGTTCCGATGTGCCTTTTCAGATTAGGAACCTCCAATACCAAGTCCTAGAAGCACTTTAGTAGAACTAAGATCACTGCACACTGCACACTGCACTTATTTTATAATCCTACATTCCTCCCACCACATCAGCACTTTTAATCCTGTACCCATTACTCTGGCTGGCCCAGTTTTAATAGTGTCTCGTTGTATTGTTACTGTTATTGTTTATTCTGCTTAACTGTTTTTAATTTGCTTTAGGTATTGCATTGTTGTACTGTGTTTTAAGGCTTCGGCTTATGTAAGCCGCATCGAATCCTTTGGGAGATGCTAGCGGGGTACAAATAAAGTTATAATAATATAATAATCATAATAATCATATAATAATAATACATTCTTTATACCCCACCACCATCTCCTCAAGGGGACTCGGCTTACATGAGGCCAAGCCCAACCAAAATACATCAGTAAAAACAACAAACAAACAAGTAAAACACAATACAAATATTATAAATAACACTAGCCGTCCCCTGCCACGCGTTGCTGTGGCCCACATGGGGGTTCTGTGTGGGAGTTTGGCCCAATTCTATCATTGGTGGGGTTCAGAATGCTCTGTGATTGTAGGTGAACTATAAATCCCAGCAACTACAACTCCCAAATGTCAAGATTCTATTTTCCCCAAACTCCACCAGTGTTCACATTTGGGCATATTGAGTATTCGTGTAGAGTTTGGTCCAGAGCCATCATTGTTTGAGTCCACAGTGATCTCTGGATGTAGGTGAACTACAACTCCAAAACCAAAGGACACTGCCCACCAAACCCTTCCAGTATTTTCTGTTGGTCATGGGAGGACTGTGTGCCAAGTTTGGTTCAATTCCATCATTGGCGGGTTCAAAATGCTCTTTGATTGTAGGTGAACTATAAATCCCAGCAACTACAACTCCCAAATGACAAAATCAGTTTTTTTGAGTGAAGGACATACATTGGGTTGTTAGGTGTCTTGTGCCAAATTTGGTGTCAATTCGTCCAGTGGTTTTTGAGTTCTGTTAATCCCACAAACGAACATTACATTTATTTATATAGATATAAGCAGTAACACACAAGAAATTTAAAAACACTGTGGATTAAACATTTTAAAACACTGGGCATGAACAGGATGAGGGTATGTCTAAACAGGGGGTTTTTAGAGGGCAATGTAGGGAGATCAATCCAACGGGTAGATATAGTGCTTCAGAGGACATATTGCAAAAAATTAGTTAGATCAGGGCATTATTTTCTTTATTCAGGGAAGGCACACTGGAACAGCCACTTTTTCAAGCTCCTCCTAAAAACTGCCAATGTAGGGGCTTGTCTGATATCCTTGGAAAGTGAGTTCCAGAGTCGGGGGGCCACCATAGAGAAGGCCCTCTCCCTCATCTCCACCAGTCGCAACTGTGAAGAGGGTGGGCACGAGAGCATGGCCTCTCCAGATGATCGAAGAGATTGCGTGGGTTCGTAAACAAATGCGGTCACGCAGGTAGGCGGGTCCCAAACCAGGGCTTTGTAGGTGAGAACATGCTCCTTGAATTGGGACTGGGAACGTGAATGGCAGCCAATGGAGCTCCTTAAACAGGGGGTTGACCGCTCCCTGTAAGTCTCTCCAGTTAGTAATCTGGCTGCTGCCCGTTGGACCAGTCGAAATTTCCGAACTGTCTTCAAGGGCAGCCCCACGTAGAGTGCATTGCAGTAAACCAATCTGGAGGTGACTAAGGCGTGGACCACCATGGCCAGATCATATGAGTCTACACTGCCATCTAATCCAGTTCAAAGCAGATAATCTGGATTTTATATGGCAGTGTAGAAGGGGCCTTACTGTTTGAATTAAGGGGGCAGATTTTACCTCAAGGTTTTCCTATTGTGGTGTTCCCGGGTGCAGGTAGAGGAGTGTTTCTACACTATAGAATTGATGCAGTATGGCACCACTTTAATTGCCATGATTCAAGGTTATGGAATCCAGAAATGTGTTATTTGGGGAATCACCAGCACACTTTGGCAGAGAAGGAAAAATATCTTGTCAAGCTACAAGTCCCATGATTCCATAGCGTTGAGCAATGGCAGTTCAAGTGGTGTCACACTACATCAATTCTACAATGTATATGCGCCCCAGGATGTTTATTTTATTTTTTCACTTGTTGGAAAGGTGAGTATACTACATTTTTTTCATCAAGATTTGTTACAACAACTTCTACAGTAAAAATCTCCAAAGGCATGTAGTCATGAAAACTATGGGATCATGCCATGTCCCACATGGCTTTGCATTAATATTGAAGTCCCCAAAATTACCATATTTACTCAAGTTTAATGCACCATCAAATCCAATGCACACCTCAATTTTCAAAATTAAAAAAGTATTTTCTGCTTAAGTTGTTGTAGGTTTTTTCGGGCAATATGACCATGTCCTAGAGGCATTCTCTCCTGGCGTTTCACCTGCATTTATGGCAAGCATCCTTAGAGGTTATGAGGTCTCACAACCTCTGAGGATGCTTGCCATAGATGCAGGCGAAACATCAGAATGCCTCTAGAACATGGTCATATAGCCCAAGAAAACCTACAACAACCCAGTAATTCCAGCTATGAAAGCCTTCGACAATATATTTTCTGCTTAATTTAATGCACAATGGCATTAAATTTGAAATTTAGCCAAAAAGGTGGACATTACTGTTGCTGCATGCTTTGAATTCCGTCTTTAAAAACAAAAGTATGATATTAGAACACCAAAGCTTCCAGCAATGGAAAAGTAAACGTACAGCATCGATGCTGTAGAGTGAATCCACTTTAATTGCCTTGGTTCAATTCTATGGAATCATGAAGGGCTGTTGTTTTACAAGGTCTTGAGCCTTCTCAGCCAAAGAATGCTGAGGCCTCACCAAACTACAAATCCCAGGATTGCATAGCATTGAGCCATGGAAATTAAATTAGAGAGGACATCCCTCAAATACGAGCTCAGGTGCAGCTCCTGAAGCAGCTTCCTCTTTTGCTCAACACTAAGATTATTGTATGACACGAACCTAGTGAGCACTATAATTTTGGCAAGGTAATTTAGCAAAAAAAAGATGAGCATTAGATTCCTCAGTCACATTGGCGAGCAGTTGAATCCCAGATTAGTCTCTTTCAGAGTTAAATGGAAACCTTCAAAGATCACTAGAACAGAGACCTTTTCTGGACTGGGCTGTGGTCCCTGTGGAACAAAGCAACCTTCACTCTTAGCCTAAAGACGGACATTCAGATGAAATATTAGGTAATAATTGGAAATAACACTTTTTCACATGTCACTGACAGAATGATACATCTGTTCTTAAGCATCAGCCTCACTAAGTGCATTCAATAGACATAGAATGGCAGCTAATATGCCTGTTTTCAGTAGGATTAATGTTCATAACTCATTTTATTTTCTAGATTCCCAGTTGCTTTTCAGAATCATGACCGTCTTAAGGAAGCTTGCAGCACTAAAATATTCAATCCCACCAACATATCCTTACAATCACGTTGAGTATAAAAAGTATGGATCAGTTACAATAAAATATATTGTCTAAAACTGGTTCTCAATCTGGGGTCCCTAGATGTTTTGGCCTACAACTCCCAGAAATCCTAATAGCTGGTAAACTAGCTGGGATTTCTGGGAGTTGTAGGCCAAAAACATCTGGGGACCCCAGGTTGAGAACCACTGGTCTAAAACATTTCATCACAGATACTATAATAACTGTCAGATGAAAGCCTTGGGCAGATTAATATCTACAGATTTTCATCGGAAAAACATAATTCCAATATATGGCTGCTGAGAAGTTAGATTAATTCAGTACAGTTATTCTTGCTTCCAGGTAAATATGTATAGGTTTTCAGCCTAAACCAGGTGTTTTCTTAAGAAGAAGTTCGTTGTTATGTACCTTCAGGTCATTTTCTACATATGATCGTAGGATTCACAGTAAACATTTTTTGCCACCTTTATCCAAAAAATCTGCCATTGCCTTCTTTGGGGCTGAGAATGTGTGATTTGCTCAGAATCTCC